AATCAAAACGTTAGTTTCATCTTGAACTTGTTATAAATGTATATTTATAGTTAGTCTGTCCTCCTGTGAATATGAAACTAGTTTTATTGTTTTATTGTGTACAGTTAAATAAATAGTTGTAAGTATAAACCATTAAAAACTCTTTTATTTAAAAACGTCCAATCTCGTTCGCGATGATTGGTTTGGAACGAGGTCCGGAAGCGTTGATGTTTAAGAAGAGTAACAGACACTATACCGTCGGGGCGGACTAGGTGACAGGTGGATTATTGGTAATAAGATGAAGGATATGAAAATTAAATGCTCGCATTTTTCATTTTATTGTGTCTTGATATTTTCCCTAGTTCGGCCAATACAATATACCAGAGTCTGCTCCTTTTGGCGAGAAGGCAAGCATTAAACTCGATTAAAAACTAATTCTTGCCTTTGCATGGAACTGTCTCATTTATGCATCGTAGAATCTTTTATCCTCCTCCGCTTTAGTTGACGGCACCGAGAATCTTTTTTACCATTTCCGCATACCACTGCAACCATAGAGCAAAAGATGTTGATTAATTGTTTAGTTTATAACATCTGTCGAGACGTGACGTTGTAGTACAGCAAGTGAACAAAGACAGGCATACCTCAGGAGCCTTTTCTCGCAGACATTTTTGGTGTCTATAACCCAAGTCACACAAATCGTCGCCTCCTTGCTCTGCTCAGGGCATAAATATGACAGTGATCATTTGAACCGGACCCTGATTCAAAACGGATTAATTTAGAAAAGTTTACCTATTTCTACACACTGGCGAATCAAGTCTTGGTGTTCATGCGGCGCGTGTTCAAGCATTGTGGACAATACCAAATGGCCGTCCTCCGTCATCTGGAAATCAAAAACTATGTTAAGTGGCGGAGTCCGATAAGAGAATCACGGGCATGGAGGGACATGATATACTCGCCTTCTTTGCCTTCAGCATTGCACATTTTATTTGACACTAGAATGAACAAAAATAAAATTTATGATTATGATTGTAACTGTGTCGGCAGAACTTGTGACAGTCATTAAAACAAATGTCGAAACTTGCTTTTAAATTTTCACTGGCATCCGCACCGTCAGCCCAGGCCAAGGTCTCCTCTATAACACCAAGAACAAAAGTCTCAAAGTAGGCTCGATCCTTATGTACCCTTTTTCCCATTTTGCGCACAGATACACTGACTAACTCTTCCAGAGATGAAGAAAAATAATTCAGGTAATAATCATAGCCCTCTAAAGCTCACCATAAGTAGATCCCGTCTCCTGCAGGCACGCATCAAAGTCGGCTTTCATCACGGCCAAGTCATCAGCTGGTGGATTAGGTGCCGACAACACCTTTCCGAAGAAAACAATACAACATAGTTTACTGATCTCGCGGTGGGCAGGCGCTGTTTTTAAGGATTGTGAACGATTTTGATGTCTACTCCCAATGAATTAGGAGCAGACACCTGACAGCATAGGCTACCCCGACGCGACTCCGTAATGGACGAGGAAAATATTTTCAATATTTAGTATTTTCTGAGCGTAGCCAAGCCACTACGATACGGCTAGCGCCTGCGAATCGCAGGGTAGGCCAGCCCGCCAAACACCTGAGAGGAGGCGGTGGCCTACCCTGCCCCGCTCTGCGCTCCTCGTGAGCGGGGCTCGGGCAACCGAAACGTTTGGCTCCTACACGTTCCGCGCTGTCGCTACGTTCTCTAAGAACTTTCTATTGCCGCCGCTCGTGAAACTTCAGAGAACGTAAACATTGAAGGGGGTGGGGGTGCGGGGTGAGCTACTTTAAATGGCGTTGTTTCAGCTGGGACAACGAGTGCGGTTCGCGATCCTCCTTACCTGCTGGAAGCACAGGACGACAAGAACAACGAGCTTCATCGTGGCTGTAAGGGGCACTACACCAAAATCCTAGAGCGCTCTTCTTTTATATTCTGCCCAGAGCCGGGGATAGCGTGGTCTGGGCCAATGCAGAGAGTAGCGATTGCTTATAATGCACCCTAACAAGGCAATCCCGGACGATTTAGAACGGTTTGCACTGGGCGGTAATAGTTGCTTCTAGGCCCTGAAAAAAAACCCATACTTGATCGTCTGACCAAGCCGGAAGCAAAGTACCGCGTGAGTGGTGTACGGCAGAAAAAACAATGCAAAACTTTAAAAACATGCCGGGCGTCTATCGTTAAAACGACAGTCTTTTTTTTCCGTAACCAGACCTGGTGATTTTTCCAAAATCCCCGAAAGTGCTGTCCGACCTGTCGGCTCCCTAATGTTCCTTCGTGGCCAAGTCGGTAGCGTCCGCGCCCGGTATGAACATGGTCGCTGGTTCGGATCTGGTCCCGATGATATTTTTCGCGCTCCGCTGGCCATGGATTTACAGTCGGGGGACACCTGATGTGATGGGCCGGTACGCAAACAGTCGCTGGTTCGAATCTAGTCGACGCAACCCTTTTGCCCATCTGCCAGCCATGTGTTTCAGGGTGTGAGCCACAGCGGAGATGGACTTCACCTCCAAAGCCTCATCGGCTCAGTTGGTAGAGCGCGCGCCCGGGACGCGGATGGTTGTCGGTTCGAATACTGACCGAGTCTCATTTTTCTCATTTAGTAGTTTGCGGTGCGGGGACCAAGGGTTAGGACGAAAGATCAGCCGACATGTGGAGGTGGACTTGACCGCCTACTCAGCAGCGCCCCCCCCCCTTGCAAAAAAAATATTCGCCCCGACCTGGAATCGATCCCGGGGCCGTGAGTGTCTTGTGCACCACGCCTCAGCGCTCGCCACTAGGCTGTCGGCTCCACTTGTCAGCGAAGAGTTCAGAACTCGGTCCTCCTTTACGAGTCTTCTGGTCTCCCGGATTGCACACGTTCAGGTATGGTCAAGTCCACCTCCTCGACGCGCTGGAGCCCGGGTCAATTCCTGACCAGAAACAAGGAAAATGGCCAGTAAATGAGCATCGCGGGGGCGAGGAGGTTAGGTTAGGCTAGTGGAGCGTGCATTTATTGACCTTTTGGCCAAGATTTCGACCCGGGCTTCAGCGCGTCGAGGACGTGGACTTGCCCGATTTGAACGCGTGCAATACGGCAGATCAACACCCGTAAAGAAGGGCTGAGTTCTGACGTTTGTAGCCACAGGAGCAGGCGACAGCTCAGTGGCTAGCGAGCTGAGGTGTGGTCCAGAGACCGCCGTCTAAAGGATCGAATCCCAGCTGTAGAACTTTTTTTCGCGCTCTGCCCGACAACGATGTGATGGACCGGTACGCAAACAGTCGCTGGTTCGAATCTAGTCGACGGAACCCTTTTGCCTTTCTGCCAGCTATATGTTTCGGGGTGTGAGCCTCATCGGAGATAAGCTTCGCCTAAGAAAAAGCCTCATTGGCTCAGTTGGTAGAGCGCGCGCCCGGGACTCAGATGGTTGTCGGTTCGAATACTGACCGAGGCTCTTTTTTCTCATTTAGTAGTTTGCGGCGCGGGGACCAAGGGTTAGGACAAAAGACCAGCCGACATGGGGAGGTGGACTTGACCGCCTACTCAGCAGCCCCCCTCCCCAATCATCAAAAAAGAAAAAAAGTTCGCCCCGACCAGGACTTGATCCCTGGGCCAAGGGTTCCCTAGACCACACCCCAGCGCGCTCGCCACTCGGCTGTCGGCTCCACTTGTCAGCGGAGAGTTCAGAACTCGGTGCTGCTTTACGGGCCTTGGTCTCCCGGATTGCACGCGTTCAGGTCGGGTCAAGTCCACCTCCTCGACGCGCTGCAGCCCGGGTCGAAATCTTGTCCAAAAGGCCAATAAATGCACTCTCCGCTAGCCTAACCTCGCCGCGCTCGGGGAGCTCATTTACTGGCCATTTTCCTTGTTTCTGGCCAGGAGTCGACCCGGGCTGCAGCGCGTCGAGGAGGTGGACTTGACCCGACCTGAACGAGTGCAATCCGGGAGACCAAGGCCCGTAAAGCAGCACCGAGTTCTGAACTCTCCGCTGACAAGTGGAGCCGACAGTCGAGTGGCGAGCGCGCTGGGGTGTGGTCTAGGGAACCCTTGGCCCAGGGATCAAGTCCTGGTCGGGGCGAACTTTTTTTCTTTTTTGATGATTGGGGAGGGGGGCTGCTGAGTAGGCGGTCAAGTCCACCTCCCCATGTCGGCTGGTCTTTTGTCCTAACCCTTGGTCCCCGCGCCGCAAACTACTAAATGAGAAAAAAGAGCCTCGGTCAGTATTCGAACCGACAACCATCTGAGTCCCGGGCGCGCGCTCTACCAACTGAGCCAATGAGGCTTTTTCTTAGGCGAAGCTTATCTCCGATGAGGCTCACACCCCGAAACATATAGCTGGCAGA